TTAGTACCAAACGTGAAGAATCTATATTGTAGGCCTGGATTGTTTTTTGTTCATTGGAGATTTCTAATCTGCTGCTGGTCCCCAGATGAAGTTCTCTAGTGTTGATTTGTTGTGTACCAACTGAGATGCACATCTTAGATCAGTCTTTTGTACAATTTGGTGAGCAGTGGTTTTTGGTTTCCTGGAAGCTTACTCAAAAGATTATAAGCAAAATTAATGCCGGTATAACCATCACTGACAATTTAACAGCATAAGCTGTCCAAAAAGTTTACAGTCACACTTCGTTGAATTTTCCACTAAGATTTTGAGATATCAAGAAAGGGCTAATTGCTATATTAGATAATTGTGTTTGTGAGTTGGTATATCTTTTGGCCTGAGAAAAGAAAGTGTAACAAAGCTTTCTTGCAGCGATAAATTATGCAAACTCTGGGATAACTTACTCTAGAAAGAAAGATAGAAGTGTTTAATGTCTGTTTCAGTAAAATGGAAAAAGTTGTCAATTTCAAATCTTTTCATTTGTACCCACTTCTTAAAATAATGACCAGCATTCATATTTATGATTGTTATTGCAATATTTTGTTGTTAAGCTCAAATATTTAACAATGCAAAAGGGGAATTTCTAAGGACATTTTATTGTCATAGAACTCACTATGAGCTTATTTAATCATTAACTTAAGAATTAAGATTCATCAAAAAATTAAATTAGGAAAACCATGAAATTTTTGCAAGTATTTCTGATTTCACAGGCATGTCAAGAAGCTATACAAAAAGAGAATCAACAGATATCACAAGAACAGGTTTCAGGAAACTGCAGCAAAAAATCACATCAGAAATTTACAGATGTTACAGTAAACAGATCGTGAGGTATAAAAAGAGAATTTTTAATCAATCATTGTTGAATTGAGTAAATTCAAAAGCCTTCAAGTTTGTATATCCTAAAAACGGATTTGAAACAGGTTATAGTCAACTCAAAAACATCAGCTTATCTGTACAAATCTAAGTCAAGTGTCACCTTTTATCTGAAGAGATAAGCAAAAAAGCAACTAGGAAACAAAAGACTCACCAACAACCAAAACCACATGTCAGTTTTTCTAAGTCAAATATATGAACCTTTCTTTATATCAAATACAAGTCCATTTCTATAAACATTTCAAATAATAAAACTGTTTACTATAAAAAGATACAGCCACAAAAAGCAAATTACACACGCACAAATTTCTAAAAAAAGTAATGTATTTTTTTATTTATTAATTTGGTAGATTTTATCACTTTAAACATAATTTTTAGTGGATACCGATATTTGAGTAGACACGTTTATTTATTAGACAATATATTTATCTTTGTCTAACAGTCTAAATATTCAAGGAATCATATTAAAGAAAAAAATGCACTCAAATATTCAGGCTGACAGACAGAAATAAATACATAAATATACTGTTTAATAAATAAATGAAATGTCTACTCAAATATGACTATCCACTAAAAAAGATAATGTTTAAAGTAAAAAAAAAAAAAAAAAAAATCTGCTGGATTAATAAATAAAAATCTATTACTTCTTTAGAAAATTGCTTTGTTTACATTTGTATACAAAACTTAACAGATACAAAAATTTTGAGGAGTCTTATAACAAGGATTTCAATTAAAGGCACTATTCAGACCTTACTTGATTGACAAAGCTTCTTTGTAGCCAAGTCAGTTAAAGCACATCTGATCTAATGACAGTTTCCTCTGCTCAGGGGGATATTGGTTTGAATCCTGCCAGAGTGTGCATATTTTTCTTTAATAAGATTCCTTGAATATTCAGGCCAGTAAACGAAAATAAATATCTTGTTTAATAAATACACTACTCAAATATGGGCATCCACTAAAAATAAGGTTTAAAGTGATAAAATCTGTTGGGTTAATCAATAAAAAATCCATTATTTCTTTAGAAAATTGCTTTGTTTACGTTTTGATACAAAACTGAGCATATATGAAAATTTGGAGAGACTATGATGAGAACAATTTTGCTTAATGGCCCAATTCAAATAAATCAAAAAAAAAGAAAAAAAATATGCACTCTCCAGCATGATTCAAACTTGCATCAAAGCTGGGCTGAGGAAAAAAAGTATTAGGTCCAACATGCTCTGGACCTACCAAGCTATGAAGAATTTAACCAAGAGTGAATAGTGCCTTTAAGCAAAAATTCTTATCATCAACACTATTTAATAAGATTTCTTGAATATTCAGGCCAGTAGACAAAAAAAAAAAATACTGTTTAATAAATAGAGTGTCTACTCAGATATGGGTATCCACTAAAAATGGTATTTAAAGTGATAAAATATCTGTCTATATCTCCAAGATGAGGTATTATGATTACTTGCATTATTTACATTATTTGGACTGTTATCCTCATCTTCATTACCATATTCACGTTTTGGCCATTGTACACTCCAGCCTTCTTCAGGTGATTGGAATTTCGAACCCTTTATTTTGTCTGCCGGGGTAGATTGTTCCACATGCCATGCCTCTTCCGAATGTCTCTGTTATTTCCCTTTAACTCAACTCTCCAAGTTTTGCTTCACTACTGCTGTGGCCTGGTATTGAACTCACAACTCTTTTGGTCTAGTCACTGGACTAAACTTGGAGAGTTGAGTTAAAGGGAAATAACTGAGATATCCTGAAAAGACATGACATGTGGAAATAGAACAATCTACACTTGGTGGACGAAATAGAAGTTCAGTTTGAAATTCCAATCACCTGAATTAGGCCAGAGCGTGCAATGACTGAAACGTTGTGAATATGGCAATGAATTTAGATTACATGTTTGGGTGTATTTTAAGGTGTCTGCATGTTCATGTGATAAACAATTCTGAAGAGGCATGGCATGTGGAACTAGAACAATCTACTCTGGTGGACGAAATAAAGGGTCCAGTTTGAAATTCCAATCACCTGAAGAAGGCCAGAGCGTACAATGGTTGAAACGTTGTGAATATGGCAATGAAGATGAGGATAACAGCCTGAATAATGTAAATAATGCAAATAGTGATAAAATCTCTCAGATTAATAAATAAAAATCCATTACTTATTTAGGAATTGCTTTGACTCAGTCTAAAAGCATGCCAGATTTAAAAATGGTTTCTCTTAGAAAGGAAGATGCAGGTTCATACCCTGTTGGAGAACACATATTTTTCTTTAATAAGATTTCTTAAATATTCAGGTTGGTAGATGAAAATAAATATACCATTTAAAATAAACAGAGTATCTACTCAAATATGGGTATCCAATAAAAATAACATTTAAAATGATAAAAAGAACTTTGATATAAAAATATATATTAATTATACTAATTTTTCATCTTTACTAACAAATTTTTATTGCTACGACCTTCAAGATGGTAGTGACCTTGGCTCTTTATAGTATATTTTCTTTATTATCAGGAAAAAAAATAGTGGAGTTAGTTCCCATTAGTTTTTCCAAAGTTTTAAATTCAGAGTAGGCCTTCTCCTAGAGTGGCCTCCAGCCAAGACAAGAGAGCACATTCACTCCAGTTACTTAACCTATAATTGGGCTGACAATGCTTCCTCTAAAAATAAAGGTAATAGTTGGTATTAAAAACAAATTAATGAGGGGTTTACTATATATGCAATCTTGGCGATCTTCAAATGAATTTACACCATGTAAAAAAAAGCTTTATTTTCCAAAATCTTATGTTGCCTGTTTGTCTTCTTTTTGTGATGTCAACAAACAATCATTGTCACTTTCCTGATGCTCATTGTAGTAGAGACTTTGTAATCACAGATTCAACTATAGTAACACCATTGAACAATACTGGTGTCAGACACCTTTGAATAACACTCGCACTAATAGTACTTGCTTGATAATACTTGCTCAAATAGTAACCCGTATAGAGATAGAGGATAGTGTAGAGGAGTAATCTGTATAGTAATAGAAGATAGACTAGAAATAGTCATCATTTAGACACCATACTAATTCCCATATATACATTTCCTTTACCATCATATGATCTACTTATTCAAAATGTGATTTGCTCTCTGGTGATCTGTGTTCAAACTTCAGTGTCGGCAGTGACACATTATTCCTATATAACATTTCTTCTATCCTGACCAAAGAAATAAAGAGAGGTCATTATTTATCAAATGTTACAGATGAAATAAAGGAGTTACTGAAAGTCATATGACAAGATCAATATTGGTTTGGAAATTAAGTGGAGAAACATTTAGTCATCAACTTCACAAATTTTTAAAATCCATCAACTCTGTGTGTGTGTGTGTGTGTTTATATATATATATATATATATATATATATATATATATATATATATATATAGAGAGAGAGAGAGAGAGAGAGAGAGAGATAATATTAGTGGTAAATATACACATACATATGCAAAATATATAGATATATATACATAGGTGCATACACATACATGTATATTTTTTTAATAAAAATTCCGAGAGGATAGAATCCAGGTAGAACTCAATAAGGATATAATAAAAAGGCTTAAACATTAATATTCCATGGTCATATTTCCCCCTTCCACTCACCTCTAGTTAGAAAAAAAACCCTCTCTGTTAAGTTTTAGTCTCCCACCTTCTCCGTCTATTACCCCTCTCTTTAACACTAACATTCGTCCCACACTCTCATACTTACACTCTCTCCAAATTCTATTTTTATTTCCGGAGTTGTTCTTTTCTGTTTTCTTTTTGAATTTGTAGGTCTGATGAATTGGATCGTATTTACGATTCCAATGGAATAAATTATGACTATGGAATATTAATGTTTAAGCCTTTTTATTATATATATATATATATATATATATATATATATATATATATATATATATATGCCATAAAAAAATTTATGACAATAAGTAAATTTTTGATAGTTTATAATTTAAAGACATAAACTATGGTGTTTTACTTATTAAGTTTGAATTCCGTTTTTATTACATCATCCATTCTAAATAGAAATGAACGCACTTCTATAGTCTTATAGCTACCATATCACATTGAAACACCAGTTCTCATTCAATCATCAAAGTTAAGCAACATTGAGCCTTGTCAGTACCTAGATGGGTGATTGCTTGGGAATATCAAGTGATGTAAGCTTGGATGTATGGTTGGATAATGGCTCAGAATTGGAAATTGGAGAGCAGAGCTCTAATTCCAGCTGGATTTGTTATATTCACTTACACACAAATACCAGTGGGAAAGCTATGAATCCACCTTTTCTTGCGACCCCTTCCAGTTTCTTTTTTTTTAAGCGTTTCACCCCAAGCAAGTCAGAAGCCACTAGCACTCAAGGGGTTACAGTGAGCTAGAACAAATAGAAGTGATAGAGGAAAGGATTAAGAGAAGGATAGGGGATAGATCAAGGCATCTGGAGATGTTGAATGACATTACATTTGAAGACTGAAGATTATAGCTATCAGGGAAACAGGAAAAGGGGAGGGTGTTATGGGTTAAATAGTAAGACTTGTATTAGTAAATCATTATCATCTCAAATCATCTCAACAAAAAAAAAATAAATTCTTACAATCAAAAATATTATCTGGCTTTAAATAACCTTAAGGTTGATAAGCTGTAAAAAAATAATTAAACTTCTGGTGACGTAGAAAAGTTTTACACAAACACATTCCATGGTTGATCATTTTTATTTTTTTTAAATCAAATTCCCCCCAAGCAAGGCAGTAAAGCCACTAAGACACAAGGGGTTACTGGCTGTGAAGAATTAGAAGATGAAAACGTTGCTAAGAAGTAAGAACAATAGAAGAGTAATCAGGAAGAAAATAGTGATTGACATTGCATTTACATTTTTGAAGATTAAAGTTGACTGGAAAGCATTTGGTCAGATTCTTGGAAGTGGATCAAACCAACATTTTTTTAGCCTCACTTCATAAGGATAAATACTGCAATTTTTATATATCCAGGTAAGATGAGAACGAATAGAGTACAATTCCAACATTCATAAATTTAATTTAAAAGAGGGCTCAATACAGAGTAGAGTAATATTATTTATTTTAGGATACTAAAAAAACATGTCAAAAATCGCTACACAATTGCAGTCATGTTTCAACACATACCAATGCATCTCCTCAGGCAATTGTAAAGATTATGGAGAAGTAGAATGAAATAAAACTCTAAAAGGTCAAAAAGGAGTTGAAATTTCATATTAATTATTTTCATTTACTTTTATGACATGAAATTGACAAAATTAACAAGTTGCTAAAAGCAACACAAGCTGCTTCCACATCTTAAAGCATCTGTTTGATCTTTTCAGCTCTAAAATATGTTGACTCTCTAAAATCCAAGTTAAAATAAATTTAATATAAAAGTGAAAATTTTTTAGCATTGGTTTCCCATGACAGGATAAATATATAAGGGAGTATTTTTTTTCTTTTTTATTTCAACACATTTCTGGTTTAAATGGTTGTGAAGCATCCCCATTAAAAAAAGAAAGATGTAAAAATAGCTTAAATGAGAAAATAAAATAGATTAAATGGTGTAAACAGGAATCTGGAACATTATTGATTTTATGCTGAACATTCTTGACACAAAACTAACAGATTCCATATTTATCTTTGAAAAATAAAAGAAAGGATAAAAATACAACTTATTCACAGAGAAAGTGTGTGTGTATATATATTCATAGGTAAGTATATTGTACATACACACAAAGTGTAAGTGAAGCAGGAATAAAAATACATTTTTATAACAAATATGTAAAAATACAAAACCACATTGCAGCTCACATGATACTTAAAAACATATTTTTTTACTTTTGGACACAAATATTTTATACCTAAAAAAAATCATGCAAAGAAATTGTATTTAACAACAACCAAACCAATTATTTTCAGGATTACTCTGCTTACAACTAAACAATACATAAGTAACAATGTTGTAACATTTATTTTCAATATCTCAAGTGTATTTTTTTACTATTATATATTTTATTTTATTATATTTTTTTATATTATTATATATTTTATTATATTTTTTTATATTATATATATTTTTTATATGATACTTAGGTCCATTTTTTTTTTACATCTTAGTATTTTTAAAGATGCTTAATCTAATTTACTTTTTTTTTTGCAAGGTTCACCCTTTACAAGGCCCGAGAGCTACTCAAGGTAGAGAGTTATGTTTGGAGGCCATTTGTATGTATAGTAGTGGAAGATAGCAGTTAACTCTAGCCTTGAACACGTTAAGATTTTAGTGATCAGGAAGACATCCTGTTGGGAGTCAGTTCCACAGGGCAGGGGTTCATGGGAAGAAGCTGCCCAAATGGAACTTACTTCTAACCAATGGAATACAGAGGGAACATGGGTGGTTTGCTAATACGTAAGTGGCATGGCATGTACTTGCTGTGAAAATTTGACTTGGCAGGCCCAGGCAATGTAGTTCATCTGAGCACTTTCAGTGGAAGTAGTGGTAGAGCAGTGAGAGGCTTGTCACGTCCCACCTATGGGAGAGAGGTTGTAGGGTGGAGAATAATTCGTCACCCACAAGGGCTCAGAGATGCTTTTGAACTTCATCAAGGCTGGAGAGTGATGTCTGGGCAGTTCCCACTCAGATATGACAACAATACTCCATTTTTGGCCTGATTCTGGCTATTGTAAAAGTAGAGGACAACAGGAGGAGTCAACCTGCATCCTTAGCAATGAATTGTATGTACAAATTCTATTTGAGGTCAGGTTTTACAAGGAACAGTGCTTCCCAGAGAGGATCTCCATTCATCCTGCTTGGTGGTAGTTCAGGGGGGTCAGTTCAGTGATGGAATATAACTAGCTTGGTCTTTGAGGCATTGTTATGATGACCTATCTACATTAAAATGAATTCTTCCTCCTTCATAAATACTAATCTGCAAGACTTCCTAAGTGAGGCAAGACGGGACGCAGTGTAACCTGACAGTTCAGATGGACACTTCTATCTGCTGACTAATAACACAGAAAAAAAAAGAAGGTAGGTTGAACAAGTGTATTGAAATAACAGAGCATATATACAAAAGAAGAGTGTTATTAGTCAGCAGATAGAAGTGTCCATCTGAACTGTCAGGTTACACTACGTCCCAACTGCCTCACTTAGGAATCAAGCCACAGGAAAAAAAGCAGAGAAAAGTCCACATTGGACAAAACACATTGGCTAAAACTACACACAATTTGCCTATTGTCTTTCTTTTTTCCTTTACACACACATTATATATATATATATATATATATATATATATATATATAATTTTGAAAAAACAGATCACATTAAGATTCCATGTAATAAGCTATTTCACCATAACCCCTTTAACAGGGTTCTGGATCATCAGACTTTACTTCCAAAATCCAGAACCCTGTTAAAGGGGTTATGGTGAAATAGCTTATTACATGGAATCTTAATGTGGTCTGTCTTTTATTCAAACATATCTGCTCTGAATTTTACATTGAGCTCTCTGGATAACATCCTCCTTGGGTCTACCCATACGGATTACCTAAGTTTGCATAAACTAAATATATATATATATATATATATATATATATCTGGCACATATACTGCTGTTGTTAATACAACAGTGCTATTAAGTATATATTAATAAATGTACATATTACCCCTCACCGATAAGATGACCTGGAGTTTCATACACAATACAATCTTCAGGTACTGAATATAGAACTTGGACTGATTTATATAAATTATCTAGAATTTTATGATGGTGGTTTGATTCTTTGCTGATATGTCTATGGTCATATAGATCTTTGATATATGGTTTGTAATAACCAGTATTCAAGTCTAAGGTCACATTGAGAAAGTTTCATAAGCACTTTAACCATTCACAAAAAATAATGTTAAGTACAGCTATAGCTGCATTAATAACATTGTTAAATCTATACCCTAACATAACAACATTATGTTAAATATATTTTTAATATTTCTATTAATTTTTTTTTTAAAATAAATACAACTGTCAAAAAATTATGATCTGTCACTTAAATGGTCAATGTATGACTGATAATATTGTATCGAGCTAACATACATTCCAGTAATGATGCTAAATTTTATTTTGATACCACTGAAAATCCTTGGAAATTTTGTTTCTACCATCATCAAATGACTTTAGGCAATTTAAAATACAAAAACAGCACTGCTCTCTCTAAATATTTCTGGCTATTAAGGAATGATGGTAATACATCTTTTATCATCTGGGATATTATAGCAAGAACCAAATCTTACAACGGGAGAGGAAATGGATGTAATTTATGTCTTGCTGAAAAATTAGTTATCGTAAAACAATTAAATAACCCTAGTTTATAAAACAAGAGAAATGAATTGATGGTTACATGTAGGCGTAAAAATAAATATCTGCTTAAATATGTTGAACCAGATTAATTTTAAAAAAAAAACAAAAAAAAAAACAAGTAATCTCCCTTTATGCTTAATATAAAAAAATAATATTCACAATTCGAAAATAATTTTTTTAAGAAAAAATTATTTTCGAATTGTGAATATTAAAAATTCCCGCTTATTTTAAATGCCAAATGTATTTTTTCAAATGAAAAACATTTAATCCCAGTATAATAAATAACTGTGCTAACATAACCAGACGTTTAAAAAATTTAAATTATGTAACAGTTAGTCTATACTCAGCACCTGAAGGTTGTGCTGTCGAGTCATGCTATCAGTGAAGGAATACACACACACATATATCAAGGAAAAGCTTAACACATCATAAAAATATGGTAATAAATCATGATTTATTTCAACCAGTAAGTCTCATCAGACCAAAAATGTAAATGGTATAAATTTACAAACTACAGTTCAAATTAACAAATTAAGCTTTTCCTTGGTGTATATCATATTGCTCTGTAGTCTATACATTGAGCTCTCTACAGATCTATCTTTTTAATATTTTACATTAAAAAGAACCACTTGGACTATCCTTTCCACTTACGGATTTGATATTTTATTATATATAATGGCTTGCTGAAAATAACATAAATATCCTGAAAGGCCCAAACCAGTCCCCAGATTTAAACCCAATCAAGAATCTGTGGCATTATTTGAAAATTCAAATCAAATTGAGAGCTCCAACAAACATCCCAGATCTGAAGACCA